AAACTAGTCATAACTCGTGCCTGAAGGCACGATAAAATATAAAATTCTAATACCCAAAAAATCGATCCTACTATATTAAATTTTTTTAACATGTGTATACTATTGTATATGGATAATATTTGAAATAAAAATTATATTAACTACAAATTAATCAAATATTAAATAATGAAACATATGATAAAAATGAGTGATGTGATATTTTTAAAAAAGAAATATATAAATGATTAAACATGTGATAGAAATGACTGATACGACTTAACGTTTGAGTCTGATAGAGAAATGATAGGTGAGATAAGTGATTGGTGATGTTTTTGAGGAAGAAAATATGATTGAGATAAAATTCAAAGTATGAGTTGTTTTATTATATAAATTAATGCGGGTAAGAATACGAAAATTAATTGTTATTCCTCATTCCGACCCGATTTAATTGAAAGACCAAAAACTCTTCTGCATTTCTACCCAATTTTTTTGGCTAGCAGTTCAATAGGGACGAATAGAATAAAAAATTGCGGCTAATCGAAAATTTGAATACCCCTAGATGAGCGTTGGATGACTGGATTTCACTGAAAAAATTGATGGGACCTATTCATCTAAAAAATAATATACATTTAGCTTGTAACTTTTTGAATTTCATTTGAATTGTGTAGTATTACTCAAAAAACCCAAAAAAAAAAGTCTAAAATACTTCAAACGACATTGGATTGGAACTTGGGATGGAAAGGTATTGACAAAAAGGTTCAATTAGAGTGTGTGGCTGCTGGGATTCGAGCCCAGGTCTCCACGGCCACAACGTGGAATTCTTACCACTAAACTACAGCCACAGTATGAAAATTATTCCCCGTTGTTTTTAATTCATATTAAAAATGAACTATCTGGGATTTTCGATTTTACTTGATATAGGTGTCTTCAGAGCAATTTATGTTGTTGCCAATGTCTTTAAAATTTTAGCAGTTAACTCTCTGGCGTAGGAGCAAAAGAAGACTGGCATTGTGGTTGACTGGTTGGTTTCTTTCTCATCTTGTCACACCTATGGCCTGTTTGTTTGGAGGGTTTGGGCAGGTATGTAAGTTGGGTTTAGAACAATAATCCAATCCATTTTTGAATACACCTGTTTGGATGCACAAATTGATCGTTGGATTGGTTCCGAGTATATTATAATTAGTCAAAAAAGAACGTCTCCCACCTAGTATGTATATGACATATATTTGACGAGATAATATGTTATAGAGATTTCAGATTTCTACCCGACAAAATCACTCATAATTTACTGACCAATGAAAGGAAATAAATTTTGAAGGGATAGCCAGACCTATTGAAAATCTGACAATTATTAATGGCTTGGAAAGAAAATTTGGCTAAGTTTTCTTTCCTGAACTTAGAAAAGAGTTGTTCGTCTCGAAACTGAATTATTCTCCTATCCCGTGTCAGGTTTGATAAGTTATTTGTAAATCTCTAACGATGATCAAAATAAAAAAAGAAACGTAGTCAAATGTCAAGACAAAATGTAAACCGATTCATCCATATAACAAATTCTCTCCAAAAGAGTCAAAGTCCAGCTCCGTCAGAAGAGGATTTAGTCTACTCACCGAGGTCTCACTTAGAATCGTCAAAAGCTTCAGCTAATTTATTCCCTTCACAACGTAGGATAAAGCTTCAGCTAATTTATTCCCTTCACAATTGCGTTGACTACACCCATCTTATTCACTTTGAAAAAATTTCTAAGTGTGTTATACCGTTCAAAAAATAGTTTTACACACCACACAACAGTATCAGTATGAATAGTGTGCACACCTAATAAAAAGTTATCAACGCATGGGCAAAGCCAGCATATGTCAGTGGGGCACATGCCTACCCTAAAAAAAAAAATTAACATTACTTATATGTCTTTTTAAGTATTTCTTCAATATTTGTAACAATGTCTATTCTATTTTTTTGGTTCATCAATTAGTATACACTTATATCGAATGAATATGAATTTTTTGACACATTTTTCACATGTTATGTACTTATCTAGATAAATTTTAAATATATTAGAATTATGTTATAATTTCTAAGACTAAAAAATACATGATATACATATTAACTAGCTTATTTGTTATTTTGACATTTATTTAGCTAATTATGGTAGATATTATAGAGTGTGCATTGAACTGCATAATCGAATAAGTGATAAACAACAAAATGATAACAAGATTGTGTATATAAAGAATAATAAAGATGTTATGCAACGGTTTCAAAATATAAAATTTCTCTAAGTCAATTTTAAATGATTTTAATTAGCCTATATTTTATAAAATGATATGATTAATCTTTTTTTTATTGATGTCGTTTGCATACACTAAGTTTCATTGGGTTTAATAAACTTTTAAGTATTAAATAAGATGTAATTAAATATAAATTATTATCCTATTTCTATCGATTGGAAGAAAAAAAAATTAGTTTGTTAAAATATTTGTGCTCACCTGGCACGATTTTCTGGCTCCACCCGTATATCAACATACAAGTTAGTTTTTTCCAAAAAAAAATTGACAAAGTAATATTTGAGAGTCGTTTATTTGAAATATACATTATTTTATACATGATATACCCCACTTGACACTGTCATATAAAGTGTTATGTATATATGAAAATTTTCTTCTCCTCTTTTGTCGTAACTGGATAATTGAAACAACACATTAGGATTATAACAAATAGAAGTTGAATATGTTCAAATTTGCTCAATTGTGACTTGTTGAGATTGAGTTCGAGTCGAGCTCAACCATTTGATTCTTACCCAATCTCAATTCAATTCGACAAAAATTTAGAGACATTTTAATTGAACTCAGATCAATCATCTTATGAGCGGTAAAAAATAAAAATTATTCTTATACCAAAATCTATTATATCCGGTTTATAAGAATAATGTTATTTAAACTTAATTTGTTAACGTAATTATTTTCTACAATTAGATTCATAGGGAACACAACTATTGATTGAGGTCCAATATAAATTCAATGACTATAATATTACTCAAATCCTCAAATCGTGCGTACCGAGTTACAATCGAACTAATGCTCAACTTGATCAACCACTCCCATCATCCATTCTAGCAATGAACCCCCCCCCCCCCCAAAAAAAAAAAAAAAACTACACAGTTGTACGTGGCACCTAACTCTATAAAATGACATAAAAGCATGCACGACTACAATTATTACATTAAATAAATTACATAGATCGTCCTTAAAGTATTCTATTATGGAGTAATTTAATCTTTCAACTATGCAATCTGATTCATTATTCTCTTTTTACTCAAAATTGTTGCTAATTTTGAACAGAACATTGCACATTTTGTGAGTCATGAATTAGAAGTATTTAAATTCAAATACGTGATTTAAAATTCAGATTTTTTTTAGTATATTTTTTCTTCAATTTTTTTTTTAAAACATTAATCATCTTTCATGAGAAGGGGACCCATTATATACAATGGGTCCTACTTGGGAGAAAATCTCATTCCTAGATGTTTTATTAAGATTAATAGTAAATTTAAATAAAAGTGGAAATTCCGATTGTGAGGGACTAAAACCACGTAAAGTTAGGGTAAAATATATTTTTAATCCTTAAAGTATGTGTGTAATATTTATTTGATCTTTAATTTTTGGATTGTGTTTATTTAATTCCTAAGGTTCTTAAATTCAAGAATCAAAATATCGTTTTAAAACGGTCGAAACATCCAAAACGTTTTCGTTTCAAAGGAGACCAAAACGAATCAGTGATAGAATCAAAATTTTAATACTTCGAGGTGTTCCGTAATATTTTGAAACATTTTATTATATTTTAATATATTTGTACAATTATTTCAGAATATTTCAAGATATTTCAAGATTTTTTGATATATTTCGAATAATATTTTGAAAAAATAATTCTTAAATTTTTATTATTTTTCATTCTGTTTTCTAAACAGATCGAAACGTTTCTGAAACATGTCGAACCGTTTCCATTTTCTAGATGACGGAAACAATGCACCAAAATAAAATTGTAATCCTTACTTAAATTATATCTGTGTGGCTCAATTTTAAATGTCCGTTAAAAAATCGTTAATGTTTTTAATCATTCGTTAATCATGTGAGGTCGTATAAACATACATTAAGAACTTTAAGGACTAAATCGGGGCAAAATTGAAAATAACGTGATTAACGTGCGATCAAAATTGTCATTATTTTTTAAGCAACATTTGGGATTGGATCATTTAAATACAAATTAGGAACCTTTAAGATTAAATAGACAANCAGCCGATGGAATCTTGTGATCAAATAATAGTTTGACAATGTCGTCTGTAAGCAGATGGTCAAAGAACTAGTCGGCCTTTGAAATGTCAATGTCATATTTCTATTTATTACTCTCATCGGCTCTGTTATCAACACTTGAAGAAAGTAGCGCTATTTTCCTAAGGGCANGAATTGTGAGTGTAATGTAGAACAGTTTGGTGTGGTCTCTGTTTTGGTTGTTGTTATCGAGGACTTATCATTATCTTATGTGTTTCGTGATTTTGAAGCATTCCATTCTTATGTATTTTTACGTTTTTTAGCATTCGAGTTGGCGTGGTTTGCAGGAAATCAGAGTTTCGATCTTTTCATATGGTTCTACGCTTATATGTATAACTATATATATGCACATTCACATATGTTGAGCTTGTGTTTACTTGTGGAGCAAAAACAATTAGGGTTTTCGATTTTCATCTGAAGCTAGTGATCAAGTCTGTCCCAGTCTCGGTATCTTTGTCTTTCTTTTGTTTAGGTTAATATTAGTATAGAAATCAATTAGAGTTAATTTTTTTTTAAAGCTTGCAGGTCTTAATTAATGTTGGTTGTATCGAATGTTCAAATTTTGAGTGATTTAAAGAGATAATGCAGACAGCCAAATCAACTTCTTTGAAATATGTATGTAAAATTTATAGATGGGATATTGATTGTATTAATTTGGGAATTTGTGATGCGTACAGATTTTTGAAGGAAAACTGAGCAATGGCAAACAATTCTTCCAATGGAGATTACCAAACCACAACTAAGCCACCTCCGACCCCATCTCCATTGCGTTTCTCAAAATTCTTTCAGGTACATTTTAATCGTGAGAAAATTTTTGATTCTCATCAGAACGTTGCAAAATACAAATTGCTTGGTTGGAACTTTTGTTCTCGTCTTGCTTATGAAAATTGGTACTGTATGCCAGTGTTTTCTACAGCGACGTTTCTTGTGGCATAAACTCATGTAGTTGATTTTGGTTAACCATCCAAAGAATTCGTAGACAAGGAGTCATGTACTGTTGAGCTTACCTTAGATAATTCCTGTATAGGTCAACTTGGACCATAGGAATCAAAACTCAGTGTAAGGTAGATCCACTGTCGTAATCAACCACATCACAAAATTACGTTGTTTATCTCCTTTATAACAGAAGGGCATATGATGTCAAGCAGAGTGCTAGTAGAATACTCTTCTCTTTGGGTTGAATGTACAATTTTAGATTAGGAAGATCATGAGACGTCTTATTCATCGCATCCTTACATTTTTTACGTCAGAAGTATAGAGGATATGCCAACAGTCAGTTTTTGCTTTTGGTTCTATGAGTATCCCATCCTTGAGCGGGGATTTATACCAGTTGTTACTGATATGGCGATGTTCATGTGGTCTCCAGTTCTCGGAACATATACAAATTTGTTGTATTATCATTGTATTGCCTAGCATAACCATAGTCGCAACATGTGCTATTCAGCATTTCTCTCGCTTAATGGCAGCCCAATTTGAGAATTTTGGTTACCGGAGGAGCTGGATTTATTGGTTCTCACCTAGTGGACAAACTGATGGAAAATGAAAAGAATGAGGTAATAATGGTTTTCTTATCTTCTCCTAAGTGTTCCATTTTAGTGATTGGGAGCTGTATATATGCAATGTACTTGTGTCACAAGTCACAACAAGCACATGGGGCTTGCTGAACTGACAAATAAAAAAAGGACCAGTCAATATTAATCTTTTTAAACATTGCACAAACAAAATGAACATGCTCTTTAAGAAGTCATATTTAACATTTCTTTTTTTTTTTGGTGTTTAAACACAGGTAATTGTTGCGGATAATTACTTCACTGGCTCAAAGGATAATCTTAGGAAATGGATTGGTCATCCAAGATTTGAGCTCATTCGTCATGGTACTTTCTCTTCTTTTTCTCTTTTAATATTTTCGACATTTTCATATCCAGTATTCAGGGGGATTTGTCTCCATTCATGTGTTTGTTGCACATGCCATGATATCACTTTATGATCTTGGTATCAGTTCCTGATAAAAGANTTTCTCTTTTAATATTTTCGACATTTTCATATCCAGTATTCAGGGGGATTTGTCTCCGTTCATGTGTTTGTTGCACATGCCATGATATCACTTTATGATCTTGGTATCAGTTCCTGAGAAAAGCNTTCATATCCAGTATTCAGGGGGATTTGTCTCCATTCATGTGTTTGTTGCACATGCCATGATATCACTTTATGATCTTGGTATCAGTTCCTGATAAAAGAAATGTATATGTGACTACTGATCTTGGTATCAGCTCCTGACTAAAGACGTGTATGTAACAATTGACGTGCTGGATTTTAAGGTTTACTTGTTTTCTCCCCATGTTAAACCAAGATAATCAAGTAAAGATCTGCCCATGACGAGAGGTTTCATGTAAAGGAAATATTGAACATGAATTCAAAATCTGCATTGTCTTTGATTATTGGATCCTGTGCAGTCTACACTAGAACTTTTGAGATGTTATTAATTGGAAATGGACTTTTTGATTTGCAGTGCAGTATATGTGTCCTAGGAGTTCTTATGATTTTCTGTCATGATTTAATCAAATATTCTACTCCATCTTGGTTGGTAGTTGCCTAAGATTGGGTGACTCTGACAAAATTATGATGGACTTGTTTTTTGTTTTAATAATGTTCAGAGGTGTTGCTTGGGATGCCTAACTATAGTGTGTTTTTCTTACTACAGATGTCACGGAGACATTGCTGGTTGAGGTTGATCAGATTTACCATCTTGCATGCCCCGCTTCTCCAATTTTCTATAAATACAATCCCGTGAAGGTATGTGTAATAGAGCTCATCAAGTTGTGTCATTCTCAATGTGTTACATAGTTGTCACTCTTTATCGTCCTGCAAATGAGAAGGTTCACTGCTCTTTGCAACCTGCACATGAAGAATATCTCTTTTGCCAGCAAAGTGGATAATAGGTTTGGGTACAGGATATCTAACTAGAATATTTTCCCTTTCACAGGGTTCTCATTTGTACATCTTTTGTGTTCTTTGAAATAGTATTCGTCTTGTGACCTTCATTTTTCCCTAGCTCGTCAAGCATGACTAAGCATTTTCATCCTGAATCCTATCAAAATAATTATTAAGCCACAGTATAGAGGGAACATTTTTAGAGATGCATGTGTTTACCTTTTTGATCAGCACAAGCTTCTTGTTATTTGCCATGATACGTAGAGATGTCCTGAAATGTCATGGCAGTTACTGTACATACTGTTCACAAGGTTCCTATGTGCTCATTATTGGTAATAGACAGAGTCTGGCTGCTATTAAACTATGACAAGTTTTGTCACTCTGGCCACTTTGATGTCCACAAGGGAAGCACCAGCTTTAGCTGGAGGACATGTGCAGTGGCAGATACTTTCTTGACAATCATGGCTTTCCTGCCTTTCTCTTTTCTTATTTCATCTTTCACTTTTAAATTGTCATATTATGTGCCCAAGGATGAACTAGAGTATCTTAACCTGAAAGTAAATTACTTCCACAGACAATAAAGACAAATGTTATCGGTACACTAAACATGCTGGGACTTGCCAAGCGAGTTGGAGCAAGGTGGGGGAGACTTCACTATGCATTAGTCCTTTGACCAGGCATCATTTATCTTGTCACTTCACTCATTCATATCATATTAATGGCATACAGGATTTTGCTTACATCAACATCAGAGGTATACGGTGATCCTCTTGTGCATCCCCAACCTGAGAGCTATTGGGGTAATGTTAACCCAATTGGTAAGTTCGTCTCAAGTCTTTGTTTGGTGGAGATATATGTGCATAAGAGAGTGTAAGCAGTTTCAATGTCTTATCAATTTCTGTTTCTGAACTCTTCATTCTTTTTTTTTTTGCCATTATAACTTTTAAACTTATATATCTTCACGGTATACACTCCAATATTAGAGTTAGGTCATGTTGGACATCTCATATGAGTCTCTATACATTATTTATATCAAAGTTTGAGGTCACTGTTTCAAAGTACAAAAAAGCAGTATGCATGCCGAATATCAAAATGTTATCCCCCCTTGTTACGTGATCTGTGAACATTTCTATANGCACGGTATACACTCCAATATTAGAGTTAGGTCATGTTGGACATCTCATATGAGTCTCTATACATTATTTATATCAAAGTTTGAGGTCACTGTTTCAAAGTACAAAAAAGCAGTATGAATATCAAAATGTTATCCCCCCTTGTTACGTGATCTGTGAACATTTCTATATCTCCGTATATCTAGATTAATGTTTTTTTATTGTGTAATTACTTTGTAAATTGGCATTTGCAACTTCCTGATAATTTTACCTCAGCAACGAAGATATTTTGCTGGTTTAATAGGGGTTCGCAGCTGCTATGATGAGGGGAAGCGTGTGGCTGAGACTTTGATGTTTGACTATCATAGGCAGCATGGGATAGGTAACATGTTACTTTCTTCACTACAAACATGGTCAGGGTAAAGCAAAAATGTTATGATGCATTGACTTCAGTATTCTTCACCAGAAATACGCATTGCCAGAATCTTCAACACTTATGGGCCTCGCATGAATATTGATGATGGGCGTGTCGTCAGCAATTTCATAGCTCAAGCAATTAGGTGAGTCATAAAAGAATAACTACGTGTATGTTTTTATCTTCTCTTATACCACTGGAATTAAGCCATCCATTAAAATAAATTAGCCCATTCTCTGGGCCTTCAAGAGACTTATGACTGGAACCAAAGTATTCAACACTTTATATCTGCTAAGAGTAGGATTATTCTATGATGTCTAGCATTAGCAATTTAGCATGAATGTCTAACAAGAAGCCTTCAGAGGGGGCCGTTGTTAGTTTAGTTCATGTCAAGAATAGCTGTTTGTTGTGACTGTGCTACTATTTTCATCACCATGGTTTCTGGCTGAAACAGCTTAACCAAACATCTTTCACCAACTGTTTATGTTATGATCTTTAATGTTTTATTTGTGATTCACACTTTTGTAGGGATGAACCATTGACAGTTCAAGCTCCTGGAACACAGACTCGTAGTTTCTGTTATGTTTCTGATATGGTAGGAAATTATGTACCAACATACCAAACAGACAACGTATTTTATTGTGATGCATTGAGTTAGTGATGACCTATTGCTCAATTTGTTTCACAATGTTAAAGATTGATGGCCTCATTCGACTCATGGAAGGGGAGCATACTGGGCCAATCAACATTGGGAATCCAGGTTACTTAAAAATTCTTACCTAGAAATGCTATGGTGCTGAGACTGAAGCACCAGTATTCTTTGTATAGAAAAATGGGTACTAACCTGATTAATCTCTTCTACACTGCAGGTGAATTCACTATGCTTGAACTTGCAGAGACGGTGAGGGAGGTCAGTTATTTCTTTGCTTTATCTCTTATTCTCAACTCTCAACCCTCATTTGCTTCCAATTTTGCTACATAGCAATGAGTAGTGCAGATGACTTATTAGCAGTTCTTTAGAATCTGTGAGAAATTTTTTTATGATTTTGTTGAACAACTAAACAATCAATATAAGTTTATTTCAACAATAATATTTCTGCGAAGTCAAAGTTTTTACTTGATTGTGGGAACTGGGGAACCAATACTGAGGNATCTGTGAGAAATTTTTTTATGATTTTGTTGAACAACTAAACAATCAATATAAGTTTTTTTCAACAATAATATTTCTGCGAAGTCAAAGTTTTTACTTGATTGTGGGAACTGGGGAACCAATACTGAGCTTTGTATTGACGAGTAAAATATGTTTCTTTATGCGAAGTGAATGGAACAGATGCCATTGTAAACTTCATGAAGAGGGATTGGGCAAGTTTTGTATACAAGTCTTGAATAATAAAGTAGGTGGCGAGCAAAAGTTTCTGATCAAAATGGCCCAAAATCATTTATGTAATATAACCATGATTGTGTATGCCACATCCCATCATATTTTTAAGAACTCTAGATCTGGACAAAACATGATGCAGGACAACTACATATAAATCTATCTGTTGGTAGGTATGATGTGGAACTTGATGCAGAACATCAATAAAACAAACTGAAGGGCTGGTATAAGTAATTTTGTGAGGCTAAATTATTGAAGAAATGGGGTTTAGTTGTGTATAATGGTGTCCAGAAACGAAAATGATTTCAAGGTTATAATTATGAGTAGGAAAATTGCAAGTTCCATGTCTGGCTGTTTGCCAACAAGAGATGGAATGTGTTGGTTTAGGACTACGGTTTAGTTATTGAAGGATGAAGGAATTTGACTAGTCAGATGATGCTTTCAAGGTTGAATAAAGATTAGCGTGGCTGGTTGTGTCCCTAAAAGATTTATATACAAACAATTACATGGCAGAAGATCATAGTAATCACTCAATTTTAGGATTTCTTTTTTCTTTGAATTTGCTTTTTCTCTAGCCTCTGTTGAACATTTCTAGCTCAGGAATGGAACAGTTTGTGAATTGATGACTCAGATGTCTCTTCATTTATGCATACACTAAACTTGAAACTTCGCTTCACTTTGTATTTTGAATTGAAAATGCTTCACAATTTCGACTTTCAGCTTATTAACCCAAAAGTGGAGATCAAAATGGTGGAAAACACGCCTGATGATCCACGACAGAGAAAACCAGACATCACAAAAGCGAAGGAATTGCTAGGATGGGAGCCAAAGATTAAGTTGCGGGATGGTCTTCCTCTCATGAAAGAGGATTTCCGACAGAGGCTCGAAGTTCCCAACAAGAAATGAACCAAAGGCAGTTAAATTCAATTNGGGATGGTCTTCCTCTCATGAAAGAGGATTTCCGACAGAGGCTCGAAGTTCCCAACAAGAAATGAACCAAAGGCAGTTAAATTCAATTGTCAATTCTGTCTGGGAGGGCTTCAGAGACCCTCTTCTTTTTTCTTGTTTTTTGCTCCTTGTATGTGTTTTCTGTCATGCATTCATTATTCTTCAAATTTCATTAAGTTGTCTTAGTTAAAATGGTGGTGGTTTATGTCTCTTTCTTCTTCTCCTTGTTCTAATTATGGAAACCAAGAAATTTTCTGATTCTGGATTTTTTTTTTCTCGAGTTTTTTATCATACCCATTATCTTCAAAAATTTATTTTTCGAAATAAGATATTTTTAAACTTATTTCTCAAATTCAGTCACTTTTTAAAAGACGTTATTCTAAATAATGCCTTCGTAGTTAAAGATGTCATTTGAAAAGACACTTTTAAAACGGCATTTTAAATGATGCCTTNATACTTTTAAAATGGCATTTTAAATGATGCCTTTAGCGCACTATATTAAAATAATGCTTTTAAGTCGCATTACATAGAAAGTTTGGCGCTAATAAATTTGAATAAAATCTTGAATGATCTCTCCATTTCAGGTGTAATCAATCCAAAAGGGTGGGAAGAAGACACTTCTGCAGTCCATCTTGGAGGCCTAGTGGCAGCTACCGTAGGGGGGCCTTGTTTGTTCCATCGAATAATTATATTGTAGGTTTAACTCAAACTAAATAAAGTCATAATATCAATTATTTAGGGTCAATTCAATATGAACATGTTTAAAGTATCGAAAAATAAAAAACAGGTGTTTAAAGCCACATGACAATATATGTATGAATTTGTCCGAAATCATAAAAGTTTCATTTATAATTTCACTTTTTTTTTAATTCAGAATTCAACTCTCAATTTAAAGATACATATACAACGAATTATTCAAGACAAAAGAAATAACAAAATGAAGCCATCAATGATTCAAGGATGTAGCAAGGATAAAAATCTATTGGAAATTTGGAGGCCGATCTTTTTTGTGGACTTATTTGGTGATAAGTTCATTAAAGAAACTCGTTTAATATTAAGTTTATTTTGATATTCGTTGTCCAAAATATTCCTAGTAATTATGTTTAATTAAAATAAATTTAAAAACTAACAACTCCTAAATTTTAGAAGTTTGACTAATATTAAAATTCTCTCTCTCTCATATCTATATAATAAAGTAGAACAAAATTTAAATTCAAAAGACAAAGAAAGATTTAGATCGTTTTGAAACCAAATATAAACACATCCAACAGACAACGTAATCCCAACATAAAAGACGATTCAGATTATCTCAAAAAATTTGATCTAATGGTCTACAGTTAGTCCTGAATTTCTTTTTCTGCGCCACGAAGAAACCTCTTATTTTAAGGTTCTACACTCCTATCTCTCATATACCTCTATCTTAAATTTGAAAAAACACAATAACAACTCAAATTGAATTCCTTTTAAATTAAATGATCTAAATGTTATATGTTAAAAGTGTATTGTTTATACCTTGATTTAGGTTTGTTTTGTTTAATTTTTAATTTTACGATAAAACTTTTCATAAAATTAAAAATATTTATATTAAACACACATAAAATACATAATATTTTTAAATTTAGTGCTTTTTTTTCAAAATTTGACAGTTTAACATTCGACCCCAATAACCGCATACACATCATCACTACATCACAAAAACCAATACCCAAATGGACAATGTCACAATTTTTGAACATGTAAGTTATTTAGTATATTGATTTTTTTAAAATTTTTGGTATAATATTTCATTAAAAACCATTTTATACTTACTATATAATTTTTCCTTCTTATTACAAACTGATTCATACCTAGAGTACACTATAAGTAGATTTTTTTATCACACATCTTAGTACTAATGGATGGTGTTTACTTTTTACTTCTTATTAATCAATGAAGTTTAAATTGTCTTTATAATCCATAAATAAAATAATCAAGTCATTATTCATACAAAAAATAAATCACTACTGTATGAAAACTTATAGTTCTCAAAAAATTAAAAAAAAATTCAAAATCCAAGTTAATCAGCAATTAAAAAAAAATAAGTGACCAATACAAAAAAAATAAGATACCAATTATACCAACAAAAAATATTCAAAACCAATATAATCGCTATGTGTTAAAATTATTCAAACATCCTATATTTGTGTGTTAAAATTTTATAAATAATATAGTGCCTTCAGGCACGGACAATGACTATTCTATATAATAAAGTAGAGCTAAATTTGAATTTTGGAGACAAAGAGAGATCTAAATTATTTTTAGATAAAATATAAATACATCTAATAGACAACATAATCCCAATATAAAATACCCTTCTACTTAACTCAAAAATTTTAATAACAATCTACGAGTATTAACTTTTATTTTCCCGCCCAACTCGGCCTCTATCTCACGCTTCTCTCTCACTTCTGCCTCAATCTCTCTCTCTCAATCTCTCACGCCTCTATCCCCAAAATTTCTCACATGGAATCCCTATCAAATCTTCTCTCAATCTCAAATCTCACTCATTCACTCACACACTCTTCTACCAATCTTCTGCCAATCTTTGTGTCGCTGCTTATCCTCCACCAGCAAAGTCACAGTCCAGCCAACACCGCTGTCTAGGTACATATTTTTCTCTCATTCACTCGCACACTCTCTCTGTGTTTTCTCTTTCTCTGTCAATAGTCGCTGCCCATCCACCGCCAACAGCGTCAGAGCCATTCGTCTATCGCCACTGCCACCGCCAATCGACTGCCACTGCCACCAAATTACACGCACCCAATCACTTAATCACACAC